TGTTTGCCTTTAACCAAGCATGCGTGATTGTTGTGGCAGATGTGTGAGAGTGTATCAGCACATCAGAGGATGTGTGTGTGTGTGAGCGTGTGTCTACACGGCGGCAAAGCGCAGGACATACATTTCTGGCTTCTCTCCTACCCTACAGTCGGGTGTGCGTGCACATGTATTTGGGAGTGCACGTTTGCAAGAGTGTGTACGTGCTTGCGTATGTGTGGCTTGCATGAGAGTACGTGCGCGTGCACATGAGACATCAAGGGGTGTTAATTTATTCAAATGAGCTGGGGAGGATAACGAGAGGATGGGGTGAGGGGCGGAGGAGGTGTGTGTAAGGGGGCACCTTCTCCTGCTGGAGGTTCATCTCTCCCCCCTTGTTTTTTCATATTTGCAAATGAGACTATTTGCATGGCTGAGAAGGAGGGAGGCAAGGGATATGGGGAAGAAAGACGATGAGACTGAAAAAGAGAAAGGAAAAAAATTGGGAGATGGGGAACGGTACAAATCTGAGGCAGACAGAACACCCGCAGACAAAAACATACTGTGCCAGGGCGATAGCAACACTTTCAAGATGGCTGCCGCTGGAGGCGTCCTCTGTGGGACCAACCTAGAGACCCGCTGCTCTCGCTCCATAGTGGATGACACACAAACACACTTTCCGACTTCAACTGTGTTCCTCAAGCATAACGAGGAGAATGAAATTTGAACAGCTCAGTAAAAGGATTAACATTTATCATTTGAATTTGAATATATTAAAGACTGAGTCAGATGAATATGGTTGTAGCTTGTACAGAGATATTGATCAGAGATATCTAGTGACACCCAGTGGTCACAATTAAAGATGTTATCATTAGAAAATCTAATGTTGAATTTCCTATATAGGCTGATCTTTGCCAAGTTTTCAGTGGGGCAAACTAATTGGTGACACCAAGGTCTTGGTTCATATATTTGATAATGCCAAAAGGCTGGTCAGCTGAGCAATGTTTTCTCTCTTTCAGGAAATTTAGTTATCTAAAGACTTGGAAACACTGTAAAGTGTTTTGTAAAATATTTGTTTTATTTTGATTTAAATTTAAAAAATAAGTGTCAGACAAACCTGCCCCATATCAAACTGCCATGTGCACTCTGCTGTGTGCACTGTACATACTGGTTAGCATAATATGGGTTCTTAAAACTTTCTATCTAGTCATTTAAAGTAACTTAGAAATACTGTGCCTGTAATCTCTGTCAAACATCAAACTGTAGCAATCTCCAAGGCATGAACTAAGACTAACTTGTATAAATAAGGGATAAACAAACTGTTTACAGTCTATACTTCACAGTTCTGGTCTGTTACATCACATTAAGTCAACAATAAACTGATGCAAGAGAGGAAGACCGAGAGAGAGAGAGAGAGTTGGCAGGTGTGAGAGGACATTGTAGAGCTTAGCTGAGGGCAGACTTTCCATCTTGACCCTCTGTGCTTTGATCTTATCACTTTCCCACGCTTTAACACTCTTGTAACTGTGTCTTACTGGTAAACCTGATCCACACACACAGACCCAAAATGCACTCACAACAAAATGTTGCTGCTGTACAACAGAGAAGAGATTAGTTAAGCCCAAGGTGCCTAGATAGCTCACCAAGTAGAACCGGTCCCCCCATGTACCAAGGTTGAGTCCTTGCTGCAGCGGCCGACCTGTGGCCCTATGATGCGTGTCCTTCTGTCAGCTATGACAGAGGTCTGGGCGACAGCATTGAATGTAGCTAAGTACATGTACTCAAGTATTGTATTTGTCTGACAGCTTTAGTTACTTTTCAGATGACAATTTTTATACAATTTGTGTCCAGTGAAAACCACCTATCTCCAAATATGGTGATTCTGAATTAGAAATTTTCCGACCTCCCGAACAATGAACACAGAGTGAACACTGAGTGCAATTTTGGCAACATCGACATATAAAGATGGACGCATCTGAAGGACTGTTGCGTCTCTACTTTTTCCCACTGTACAAAAATCTAGCCAGTAAGGTGGCGTTGTGGTAATATGGACCCGCCCATACATCCGGCCGACATAATCGCAAGCTCAGCTGTCAATCATGATGTGAAACCCCCTTTTTTATAGCTTCAAATAACTAATTAAAACCTACTATTGAGAAAAATTAACACTTGAACACACACCAGTACGATAAGAACTACCTAAAATTACTTTTGAAAAAATCGATTAGACGTGTACTTTGATATTTTAACTTGTTTTTTGTAGTTTTTAGTGACCAACTATGTCACTGATTTGGGTGAAACTGGATCTTATTATATGGAGAAAATGTTTGCCGGTGATTTAGAGAGTTTTCTGATGGACAGTTAACTTGTCGCTTAAGTAACCGCTAACAGCTGCTAATTGTAGCTGCCATTAGCTAGTTTGCGCAGTGTGGGCACCAGAACCGGAGCCGGGTGAGCGGGCAACGTAACCGGTCTCAACAGCCTCTACAGACATGGCAGAGGCGAAGAGAGAACGTTAGCAAAGGATGTTATAAGAAAAAGAGAGTGACAGAGCAAGAGGCCGGACAAGAGTCCTTTTGGCTTTAAGTTATTGGTGAGAGCTCTGTGAAATAAAAAGCTGCAACAGCGAGCTGGCCTTCTCGCTGTCGGACCAGTAAGGATCGGCTGGCTCTCTAGCTTTTGATCACAAGTAATGTAATCATAACAAATGTTGGTGTACAGCTATCAATATTACAGCAGTGTAATTGCAATCACAAAACTGTAGGTGGCGCCAAATCGCGAAACAAATACAAATTCTTGCATAATGTGGCTTTAACTTGTATTTAAGTATTTTCAGAGTGGTATTAGTACTATTAAGAGATGATTTTACACAGATCATCTCAACCCAAATTACTTTGTATAATTAAAATTGCACTTTTTTGTGACGGGACAAGCACATTAGAGCAAAACACAATGCACCAACAAGAAGAGCAGCTTTCACAAAGTTCATAACAACCAGAGAAACAGTGTTGGTGTTGGTCACTTGTCATGAAGTTTTTTACCCTAAAGATGTTTTGTCTGAGCAAATGTCATCAACAACCTACTTGTGTCTCTCAGTCACCCTGATGCCTTTTGTCTCAGCAGTTACCAGTAAGCATCCTAAAAGCTTATGGGAACAGCAACCGATCAGCACTCTCACACCTGTCCAGCATGCATTTATGAGTCTGTGTGTGTCTGATGTTATCAGCTCTAGTGAACTGTGTGATAAATAGCCTCTCATGCTTAGCTCAACTGAAGCCCTTATGGAAAGCAGCTGACCTGAGGCCCCTTGAGCGCTCCAACCGGTAAAACCGCCTGCTCTCACCGCTTGGCTGTAGGCTGTGTTAACTTTTATAGCTCGGTCCTTCATTTTTCCCACAGATTCAGTTGGCTCAGTGGAAAAGAGAAAGAGAGAGAGAGAAAGCCAGAGAGAGAGCAGGGGGTCCTTGGGACTCACCCAGTTGACAGCTACTGTCTCTGCCTGTAACGACTTATTTATTCAGGGATAATTAATCAGGCACAGTTTTCTGGCGGTATGATTAATGCGCTTTGTCATCTCAGCTGCAGCGGTGAAAATACAGTAGTGTATGCTGCCACTGCTCGGCTGCAGCTGACTCTGTGGTAACGGCGAAACGAGGACGTCCTGGTTAAAGTACTGATGAGCAGGAAAAGTAACTTAGTGGCTTATGTCAGCCTTCAAAAACAGTCAAGGCAACACCATTTTTTTTCATGATGAGACCATACTGTCAGTGGTTTTATAATGTCTTTATTTTCTCTGATTTATTCTGCAGCATTAACATTTCTCAATTCTCTAATGTATAACTCGCGATAGTATCCGTGACCATCCATCAACACTTTTTGATTATTAAGGCTTATTTCTCACCTACTTATTCTTTCACACAGTATTTGGGGTCATCTGACTTCCCCATCTCGCAGTCAGCCGATTTCACTTCTTCTCCGTCTGTCGAGGGACGATTGTTCTTCTTGTGGTCATGCTGGTCTTAGGACGCCACCTTGTGATCGTTTATGTTACCACAAATCTAAGGAACCAGATGTACGTGCATGTTTTGTTTAGTGTGTTGTTTAGTGTGTTTTGGGGAATTTAGTAAAGGCAACGTTTTAATAGAAAACCTAAATAAGTTGGCCAGCATATAAAGTGCACCATCTAAAATGGATACTATACAATTCACTGGAAAGCTTGATTAAAGTAAAAGTATGAAAGTGTAAATAAATAAATTTGTAATCTACCAAATATGTGGTAGAAATATTTTATATGGCACCAACAGCAATGATGTACATAAAGGGTAATATATATATATATACATAATATTACCACACTACGGACCATAGGCCTATAAACAGTGTGTGTGACAGGCGCAGCACGTGGCTGAAAAGAGCAAATGGAAGGAGTAAACCTGGCTCTCATTAGGGTGGAGAGGTTGCACCTGAAGGGGGGCATGTCCTTTCCAGCCAGGAGCGCTTGTTTTAACCTTTTTCTGTCAGAGGTATGATCAGGTGATTGGGGACTTCTGATTGGTATTAATATTGTGATATCTATAACTTTACAAATAGTCAGTGTCTCTCTTGTTAAATCTGTTACTGTACATTGTCCAGTGGGAACCTTTATATTGTAATTGTATATTATAGATACATTTTGGTACTTTTATTATCATATTGTTGTAATATATGGTTTTGCAATCTTATTTTATAACCGTTTCTACATATATATATATATATATATATATATATATATAAGAGAGAGAGAGAGAGAGAGAGAGAGAGAGAGAGAGAGAGAGGTCCAACTGTGATTTTATTGTCAGAGACAATGACAAAATAAAGCTCTCTGAAATGTTTTACTATTACAGGAAAATAGAGTGAGTTGTTTTCTTTAATATTACTAATACTCGAGGGACTACAATGCTTAATTACTTATTTGTACTGATTTGCAAAATGATTCAAAGGCCAGGTGGTCCAAAGCAGGAGTGTTAAACAAACACAATGACAGCAAGGTTATGTACACTTTATTAATACAAAAGCCTCATTTTTACACACATAACAATAGGCAGCATTGTAGCACATTCTGACACTCTCCTGGTTGGTTCTGCTCAGTTTAGTCCTCTTCAACATGTCTTGGCTGCAGACAATAAAAGAGCAGTTGTCATATTATCTTGGGATTAGTCCTATTAATACATTTAATTTCATCTAACGCTGACATCAATTGTCAAATTTAAACTGAAGGTATGCACAAGTTTAAACTTTGACCTTATATTTTTTTATATTATTGTATGACCAGCAGATGTCACTGTAAAGCCATATTTTATTTCAGCTCTTTGACACCAGTTCTCTTACCTTGGACTTGCCACAGTTGGTGAGCTTGTTGCCTTTAGAGAAAAAATAGATTGAGTGATTAGTTCTTCCCAAAGCTCAGAACTATTGTGCTTTTCTTTCAAACAAAGCCACTTAACAACACGATAACAACAAAGATAGAAACAGAGCTGTAAGATGGGAGCAAGAGATATATTTCAGCCCTCAGCCCTCATTTCAGCTTTACTCAATGAAAATGGTTTTAGAGGCACTTTTGTTTGTTTACTGTATGATAGAATCTTAACCCCATTCACACACCGTAGCTCTTCTGTTTCACAGTGTTTTGTCTTCTGTCTCTGTTTTCACTTCCTGTGTCAGACTTTTCTTTCCAGCTGAACTACACATTGAAGTACACTCACACACACACACACACACACACACACACACACACACACACACACACACACACACACACACACACACACACACACACACACACACACACACAAACAGGATGTAGCTGTTGACTTACCTGCCAACAGAATGATGGAAAGGAACACAATGACCCCGGCGAAAACCAGACCTCCAACACGTAGTGTATAGTAGTCTACAAAGTCACAAAGGACATTGTCACCATCACTGTCACATAATGGCAACTATTACTGTACTCTTTTCATTTTCCATTATCTCATACCCCTTTTACTCCCCACAGTCTAGCTCCTGTTATTCCTCCTATGTTGTTCCTCTATCTCTCTACACATGCCTGCTTTATTTGCCCATCTAACATCTACATGTGCTGGCAGAAACTCCCTTTATCCTGTGCATGCTTTCTACATTCTCTATTTTTAGAGTACTGGCAGAAGGTCAATATTTAAACTATTTTATCCAAGCAGATGCTCATTCAGAGGTTTAGTTACCTACCGTATACAAAGTCTGCATCAAAGTCGATGTCTGCACCTGGGGATGGAAAGGGAATGGACACGGGTTCAACATTGTTTATTTCCCTCTACAGAGGCACCTGTAGTCATTGTCTTCCATCTTCTTGGTCTATCTTCAGTGTCACCCTATTGCTAAACAGCCACATGTAGACACTCCCGCTAACACAAGCAGCTCAGATTTTGTGAACATGATTAGCTTTGGCACAACGCTGAAATGTGAGAAGGTGAGCCCGTGAACTGTGAAGCTGCAGGACTCCTTTTGGTTTTTGCTTTTTGTCAAGCTATCAAGGGGCACTCTGTATGACCTACATTAAGCTTTATATGGTTGTTAATCACTGCCCACCATACATACTCTAAATAAGCAGTTAATAAGTCAACCTTGCTTTACCCAGGTACATGATTTACACATTGTTGTTAGTGGTGTTGACTCACAAATGGCTGTGACCGTGCAAATAATATGTCACTCAAATGGAGTCATGTTAAAGTGGCTCTTTCATGCATCCCTGTTTGTGGATAATCAGCAGCTCAGCTGGAGTGTAGCTTACCTTTAGAAGACATGATGCCTCGTCTGTGTCTGTGTTCAGGTGACAAAACTGCAGGGACATAATACAAACAGTGAACAAAAGGCTGGTGACAACAGCAGCCACCAGCTGGCGATCTGTCCATGTCTGCTGTTTTAAATAATTCAATCAGGAACATCTTATTTTTATATCATGACAGTAAAAGTATTCACCCTCAGTCTTGTTTCTGAAAACCGTTGTTTGCAGTCAAGAAGATTTGTGTGGATTTAGTTTCAATAGTCTCTCCATTTTAATGAAGTTAGAGACTTGCAGATGCTCATTTAAATCAGCTTATTCACTTTAGATGAGAGATAGTTGAAAGGCTCGGAAACTCTATACGTCCTGACAAATTGCCTTATTGGGTTTCCTACTACAGACTTAAGAGCAAAATGATTGCCTTGATCTTCACTGAGAACTTTAAGAGGCTAATGGCGATATTGATCCTCTTTCCTCCACCCTTTCTCGCTCCATTCTTCACACACACACACACACACACACACACACACACACACACACACACACACACACACTTACTTACTTACTGGGCACAAGCTTCTCATTTGATCTACATCCCCTGACCTATAATCATTAACTTACACAGATTAACAGAGTAAAAATTTCCCTTGCTGTCTCCATTTTGTTTGAGCGTGCCACTGTGAGTTGTGGACTTCAGTGCTTTCATTTGATATGTGTCTGGGCCTTTTCAATGCACCACTGAGCATAAGGGCATACCGAACAGTTACTCATTAATATATTACAGCTCCAATATTCATTAACCTTGAACCTTGCACAGTCTGATAGAGGTTATAGATGGGGCAAGAATGAGTAGTTATGTTGACACCCAATAATGCTGAATTGATACCCTGTGATTGTGGCCACTAAACACACCACCCCTAAAGTACAGCGATGCATCACTGCTATTAGATTTCTTCAAATCAGGGGGGTAATTAACAAGACCACTGTCTGTCCTCTAAACCCACTTTTACGACGCACATTAATTGGAGCATGTGTGCTTTTATATTTTACCTCATTAAATGATGGAGTAACTTATTATTGTAAAAACATCAATCATTTCTGTTTTACACAGAAATACACATTTTATCAACTAACCCCTCCAAAACATGGATTAACATTGTACTTGTGAGTAACGGGGTCCTATAATCCCACAGTAACAGTTTATACTAACATTTTGGCATCTGAACTGCACACAACATATTCATTTTTATGACTTGCATATTTAATTTAACATCTCTTTAGGAAAGCAAGTTATTACTCACCTGAGCTGCTGAAGGCTCTGTATAATCTGTTCAGGTGTGTGTGCGTGTGTGTGGCCCCGGCTGCGTCTGGGGAAGGTGCAGACCAAACTCCCACCCCACAGATCCACCCTCTAATACCCACCCACACGCAAACCACCTCTACACGCCCACAGCCATATTTCAGAAGCGCCGCTCAGTTACATATTTACAGTCTCATAAAGTCTGTGCTCTGATGCTAATAAAGAGTGTATATCTGCCAACCTTTGGAATCATATAAGAAGATCAGCATATTATTGACTCCACTGGTGAGGAACACATTTTCTGACATAGTTTCATAGCACCAACTAGCAGTTTGTAACCTTGATTGACATTGAAATTACCAAAAGAAAGATTTCAAATGCTGTTAAAGTGTTGAAGCAGAAAAACCCTGAAGACATTAATATATGTGGTCAGACATACTTTTATTTATTTATTTATGCCAAAAGCACAACAGGTCGCTACACAACAAGCCTCATGCGTAGAATGAACATAGCGTTTAATTGTACAGCAGTCATGTTTAAAACAGGTATATTCAGACTTGAGACTGGTGAAAGCCTGACCTGACAGGAGATTCACAGCACAGTCTGTTCATTTTGTTCTCTTGCTGTGATTTGGCTTACATTAGGCTACTATTAATGTAGTCTAGCACAGAAATAATATCAATTTAGTTCTCTCAAACTCAACAGCACTCAAACTTTGTCTCTCCTGTTCAGAAATGTACTACATATATGGCCATTGAAAGCATCATTACATTCAAGAGACTGACTAAGCAATTTAATAAAGAAACAAGAAAGAGAAAAGAAAGAGACCCAGGCTTTATAGATTTGCAGCACTACGGAGTGTTTACGGGGAAACTAATCACAGTCTGCCAGAGACTAGTTAATCCTGGCAGAGTCGGTGACAGAGGAGCGGAGTGGATGTGTGGAGAAAAAGGCAGTGAGACAGCTGATGCAGGAGCTCCCTCCACTATAGATGGTAAAATACTGCGGTGGGGGGGCTCATGCAGATACCTGCAAACCATTCCTGTGCTCAGTCAGAGAGCTGTGGCAGTTGAGATTGTCTTATATAAGGCTAATCACATTTACATGTAGAGATACACATGCACTTGTGATATACACACAATCATACAAACGTATAGAATATGCACACACATATATACCAACGTGTGTACGCACACGCTCAATCATTCAAATGTAGACCTAAATGAAGGATATTTAACTGTATATCTTATATGTAAACTATGAGTATTTTTTACTTATATGTGTATACAGTATATATGCATATGTGTTATAATCCAAACGTAACAAACATTATCCAGGACATTTGACAAAATAAACAACAAACAAACAAATCCTAAAACCTAAAAGCAATAGATATTTGCTTAACGTAAGTACAAAACGAAGAACAGCAGACCACACAACATTAAAAATTCCTCTGGGGCTTCAAAGACAATCTTGTGTCAAAGGTGCTACTAGCTAAGACAAAGAACAGGAGTGAGAGACTGTTACAGAAAGGCACAGGAACGGACAAGAGCACTGAGGGACTGGCACAATCACAACGGAGCACAACAGGCTAAAGGTTTGTCTTCAGGGCACAAGATTTATGTACATATTACACCTATAAACGTATACCTCCCCTCTTACCCTGTCATATAACCAGTAATAATAATCAGCAATTTCTCAACTGGTATAATCGCGTAATATCAAATAAAATTGATCTTCATTTCAGAAGGCAGTCTGGTCCGGTGGACTTGCCTCAGTTCTCTGCTGCAGTCTCTGCAACCACTGCAGCTGAAAGAGCGTCAAGGATGAGTGATTTAAATGAAACATTGAACTTTACTTACTCATTTACTTACATGCAATCATTTGAAGGAATAACCTATTACAGATCAGAAACTGCTTGCCAGGTGATTATTGTACTATATTCAAGTGAACTGAAACCTGAAGCTTGTGATGGTATAAAATGAAACTTGTGATATGCTTGGAAAAATGTCAGCAGTAATTTATGTAACTTGTAAGCTCTCTCTTTCTCTTTCTGTGTCTGTCTGTCTGTCTGTCTCACACATACAATATCTGTAAACAGTATCCCCAATCCTCTCCACTGTGCTGTGGGCACGCCCAATGGGAAACTCAATTATGGATGTGTGTCAGGGGGGTGAGCCAGAGGTGCGTGGAGCTGGCACAGAGTTTAAATGTGCATCTTACCCATGGGGACAATCAGGTTCTCCTCCTGTTTCTCCTCGTCACCTGGTGCCCTGAAGAGAGGATCCGCAGGTTGTCATGGTAACCAAATGATGTAGTATGATAAAATAAAAGCCTCACAAAGCCAAGTATTTGGGATTTTTTTCAATCAGAGAGGGACACTGACATACCTGGGCTTCTGGTTAATACTGCAGCGGCACCGTCGACCTACAAATATAAGAAATCATGAGCTGTGTTGACCAGAGGTCTAATTAGTTAGATGTATTCTGCATGTCACTATTACCTGATAATGTAACGGTGTAGTAACATAGTGTGGAAATGCAATAATTATTCATTAATTGATTTTTTAATTATTTTTTAAGTGACTATAACATTTGATTACACTGAGTTCATGTACACATAATAAAATGATACACAAGTACATACACACAAACACACACAAATTTACTTACTAAGGATGAGGAGGATGCCAAGCGTGAACAGCACCACGGCCAATGCCAATCCCCCAATCCTCAGGCTCTCATAGTCTACAGAAGAAGTTGACGCCAGAATGCCACAGAAGAGACACGGGACAAATTTAATCAATGTGCCATTTATAGCAAATGTTTATATTATGTGTACACACTGTCTTAATGTCTTGACAATGTGCTGATGATGGCAGAAAAAGTATAGGATTTTCCTATACTTACCATAAACAAATGGATTTTCATCTTTCTCCTTGCTTTCTGTAAAACATATAATAGAAAACATACATAGACCCAAGGTGTTTATCAATATTGTTCATAGAATAATCAAAGAAAAAAAAAAATTCTAATCTTGTGATCCCTGGATTTTAATTGTTTATTTATCTCTAGTTGCATGCTATTGCATTTTTGAGTATTTTAAGACAAAATCTCTCTCTTTCCTCTTCCTTTAAAATGTAAAATTATTTTTGATTATTCATCTTGAACTTGGGGGCGGTTACATAACTGTATCCAATCAAATGTGATTTGTGGTGGCAACCTCTGAAACATTTCATAGGGGTAGCCAGATGGGGCCACTGAAAACCAAAAGCCGGCAGGAGGGGGTCAGAGTGTGACACTGTGACGGACCATCAAAAGCAGCTGTCAATGCGTTGTTATGTTTTTCACAGATAGAAGCGTATTTTGCATTACTCAAAAACATATTATGCATGTGCGACTCGCAAGGGGAGGCCAGCGAAGGGGCCAGCGATTGTATCGGGGGGCTCCTTGGGATAGAAACCAGAGGATCTGCAACCTTTGTAAAGACAATCAGTTGGGAGATTAGTATCATATTAATGTAAGAATGTAAGCATAATGAATTATAGACAAAGATATCTACCAAAGTAGTATTTAAACTGCCCATCTATATTTAAATATTTTTTTATTACAATTAGATAAGTCTAAAGTTATTTGTAAACTAGGTGCCTTTTTGAATAATGTTATTATTGTATATTCAGTTTATGCTCCATGCCATATAATTATGGTCATGAGCTGCAAATAAATGAAATGAAAAATTTATATATTCATACAGTCACATTGATCTCTCTTTCCTACCAAACAACCACTCTTATCTCTTCAGCATTGAATTCACTCAATGAAAATCTATTTCTAATCAACACACAGTTGGGTCTGGTCATTTTGAGACGCAATCCATACATCCTCCACTGTTCACGGTAGTGGGGAAATCTATAAGGGTACGATCTGATCTGGAAACCAATAGACCCATCCATGAGCCTGTTAAGGCTGAGGTGTGACTACCATTAGAGATTACATCAAGGCTACTCACCCTGTGCACTGGGGTCTGCTACAGCTGAGTGGCAGCGAAGAGGGGAAGTGGTTGGAGTCAGAGGGTGAAAGAAAAAAGAAGAAACATACGAAATTAGATAGGAGACCAGGAGTGAAATTCTTAAAACTCCCTATCTCTTTAATCTATTTATCCACCTTTCTCTATTTTACCGAAAACAAGCTCCAAGTGTCAAAAAAACACAGTTTGCAGCACAGCACCACGTCATCTATTTGTAGTTTGTGAGAATGTGTTTACATGTCTTACGTTTAATCATACACTATAAACAGACCTCACACACACAGTCAGTGACTAACCAGTCTATGAAACCCACACATGAAGCCCTAAAGTACAGTAGTAATTGATGTTTTGCTACGGGCCCACACCCATTGAGTGCCTTTCCATGTAACATCACTCCCTGCCCCAACACTGCCTTCCTGTGGACAAATAGTGTGTGTATGCATGTGTGATCATGTGCACGGATGTGTGTGACAAGGGGGGCACTTACCAGCCACACACACCAGGAGTGAAGAGAGGAAGAGCAAAATAGTTTCCATGGCAACTGTTGATATAGAGTAATAAAGAAGGAGGGTGAGAGAGAATGAAAGAAAGACAAAAAAAAATACAGAGAGGTCTGTTTTAAGCTACACTACTCCAGCACATATATGGGGACATAAACAATAACAATGATCACACGTACTGTACACATTCAGTTTAAATAGGTTGTACCACACAGACTATACCCACACAAGCACACATGCAGTAAGTGGTGTGTTAAAGTGAGAATCACAACACACAGCACTGGGTCTACCCAAACCCCTGGAGTTTAACTGATGTAAAAGGCCTACGGATATAGTTTTTATCTTGCTTAACAATCCATGTTCAGAGCCTGCTTACATGTGCAATTTTCCTCGCAGAGATTACTTCTATCCCTGTGGACATCACACAACCTTGGCCCATTTTCATGTAGGCTATTCATGCACACATGCCAACTGTGTCTCCTACAGAATGTGTTCATGTTTAACTATCATACATTTTGCCAATGCAAATGGTGTTTCTTATTAGCCATCCTCGCTGCATGGCTCCAGGGGTGGCAATGTCAGCCTGTCAATCAGCCAGTCGGTGGGTTCCCCTATTTGCTGAAAGAAACACTGACTTATCTCAACATCTTTTACATGGATTGCCATGAATTTTTGTACGGACATTCATGATCACCAGAGGATGAATCCTAATTACTTTCGTGGTCCTATGACATTTTTGGTTTTTAGTGACATGTCTTTACAACAAATGGATGGATTGGCAC